TGAAATTCTTATGCAAGCCATAAACGTTGCGACCGTTTCGTAATCAAGCTGGATAATTATTGTACCATGGCGCTGACATATATTGCAGCACATGAGAAAAAGGCGCTCTCCATTGGAAATATATTTTGTGACATAGTTTTCACGACATCAGAGTTTTCCTGTGGAGACAGGGCCTTATGTGTGCACACGTTGTCACAAGCGAAAATTAAGAAAATTGCAGTAAAAAGCCACCAACAAATTGTAAACAACGAACAAATGTAAACAAACGGCTAATGTCAAAGTCGCCCAACTTTTTTCCTAAATGCGATTATAACGGGCTACTAAGAAGGCGTGATCTTGTATTTTTGGTTCATGTGATAACCAGACATTGAACAACCGGCCCTTATAGCCCAGTTACAATAGCTACACACGACGAACATGTGCGCGCACATGCTCAGCTTGCATGCTCGCCGTTAGTAGCGTGGTTTGCGAGCATCGCATTGAAAACATTAACAACAACCTCATTTTGTTTTGATGCTTGAAGTGTGCACATCGGCGGATAAATGCATCCAAGCCATGTTCGTTAATTTAATTAAAATATAAATAAATTTAAGTAACACATATATAAAAAAGATAAGTTAAAAACATTTCAACTGTATCATTCGCGTCTTTGCTAATCATCTTTACGCTACCACGACAAAATCACATGAGCCGCGCACCGTCTGTGGCAAACGACAGCGAGCATGTTGGCGCACATGTGCGCGCAGATGTTCGTCGTGTGTAGCCAGTTTTATGCATACTTGCACTGCTATACCATTTTTACGTAACATTACTTGCAAGTTTTTGAATTTTGATTTTCTACGTAAAATCCAAGTGACCTTTAAAATTTGTGATGCCACTTGCGTTTGTTTACTTGACTTTGATAATTCTCTTCACATACTAGAGATGGGCGATCTCGCACAGCCCCACTAAATAATTGGGAGGCTCAATAAAGGCCGCACTATGTGGGGACTCTTGGCGCCCTATTCCCACGCCACGCAAAATTCTCCGTTATTTATGAACTATTGAGTACGTGACGACGTAACAATGCTTATAGCTTTAAAGGCCGGTCCACATAGAACTTTCGTGTTAGCTTTGGCGTTGGCG